CGAGCGACGACGTGACGCTTCCCTTTGACACATAAACAAGGTAGGGGGAGAAGCGGGGCGATGTGTGTGTGGGTCGGGGGGGGGCCCCTGGCCCGTTTCGTGCTGAGAGCTTTTATGGCCCGTGGCAGCGGCTTGAACCCGGCCTCGGTGACGGTCGCGGCCGCCGAGGCAGAGAGGGACGAGCCCTCCGTAGCCTCTTGTTTTTCCTCCCGTGCAGTAGAGCGGATGGGGCGGACGCCCCCCCCCCCCCACCCCCCCTGGAGTTCGAGGAGGGCGAAAGGAAACCTGTTTATCGCCCATCTTCCCACCCCGCTCATGTTTTTCTCTCCATACATGGGTTTTTGTTCTTTTTGGAGCCCTTGATCTTGAAAAACTGTTATCTGAGGCAAAAAAATACTGGGCGGGCAGAGGAGAAAGTTCCGTTGGGATTAGGGGCACCCTCTCGGTGTGGGGTGAGAAGGAAGACCCTGCCCTTCTCCCCATCCTGACCTCGTCTCTCCATCGGTTTATATAAGTGTGTGTGTGTTATGTGAGCGAGGGTTATGGACGCCTTCCCTGGTCAGAGAAGAGGGACCGAGCACGGAACTGGCCCTGGAAAGTCCCCTGAGTCCAAATAACTCTCATTTCCCTCCCTTTCTGGTGAAACGGTTGTGCAATATGTGTGTGTGTGTGCCTGCTCGGGGAAATGGGTAAAGAACGCCATCTAAGAAGATACTGTACTTGTGTGTTTTAAGCAGGCGAAGGCTGGTCTGTCAGGTTTTTTTTTCCTCAGGGTGGAAAGCGAGAGTATCAGCGACCGAAGCGTCTCTTCCCCCCGTATCTTAACGTATGGGGGGGAAGAGCACGTCAGAAGGGATTGCCTGCAAAGCCCAGGGGATCTGTCAGCAAGTCTCCCAAGCGCTTCCCTCCCCTCCCAAATTATCAGTGCTAGCTTGGCTTTGTGATGATCCTGCAAAGAGAAGGGAGGTGTAAATGGGGTAAGCGAGGCCACCGTCGCTGCCGGGAAGTGAAGCCACTTCACTCCCTCGGTCTGTCAAATGAGTTGAGTGAACTTGCTTCCTTGCCCTCCCCCGCGAGCCTTTACTTTCAGTTTCCTCTCTCTCTCTCTGTATAGATAGATAGATACTCCTTTTGGGAAGGAGACTTGCATAGGGTACGGCCTCGGTAGAGCGTCAGTTACAGACTGCTTCGGTTATCAGACCGCGTTCCATCTTGGCTGTGAAAGACGGAGCCTTCCCCCTCATGTTCCCCCCCACACACACCTAAAAAGAAAAAACACGCAGCGAAACAAAACAAAAGCCAACAACGCCGTTGTAGCTTATAAATATTTTCCATGTCTACTTAAGAACGGATGTGGATCACTGGCCTGTGCACGTGACTGGATTTTAGGGAGGAGTGTTGCAACTTGCAAATAAGTCCTGACAGGCTTTCTTTGCTGTTGGATATGGGTTTTCTTATCAGTTCAGTTTAATTATGAACTGAGCGGCTGTCCATACACTGCCCTCCCCCCTCCATGCATTTCCTTTATGTTTTTGTTATGGCATCTGAATGGGGGTTCCCATTTTGTCTAACTGACAAAACTGATGAAACGAATTGTGGAGTGCTCTTTTCTGGAAGGGTAAGGGAGTTTCACATCACACGTGGTTACAGGCCTCTTTAGCTGTCATGAACTGTTGAGTTTGTTTCATGGAAGTACATGATAACATCCATGTATTGTTGAAGTGAAATGCAAAAGGCCAGGCCAAGGTCATAATGAAATAGTTCAGTCTGGGACTATTTTCAGAAGAGGCAGAAAAAAAGTAATTTCAGTTAGGTTTATGACAAAGTGGACTTTAGTTTCAAAAATAATTATGTCTTTTAAGAGAAACTAAGCAATGCAAGAGGTATATGAAAATGCCTGATAGCTCAATTATGCAGATACAGTATTCTCATGGTATTAAGCTGGAAGCCTTAACAGTGACATTGATCTACATGATAGTATTGAATGCTTGGAGGGAACTGTGTGTATCTAGCTTGTACAGTACTGTATTTCACAACATTGTTTGTATAAATATGGAAACATGTTCTGGTTGATTATTAAAAGAAGTATAGTTTGTGGCAATTACCTGTACATTTTGATCTTGCATCTCTACCACAGTACTGTATATTATTTATAAATGTGTGGCGCAGTGGTTAAAACGCTGTATTGCAGCTAAAACTGTGCTCACGACCTGGGGTTCAAATCCCAGGTAGCCGGCTCAAGGTTGATATTATTTATAAATGTGTAAATTTATGGTTGATGTCTATTGCCTTACACGTCAATTGCTGAAAACCTTCATAGTTGCTGTGATCAGCCTAACCTGGCTAATCACCTTTTAGCTGCCCTTTTTAACTCCAACTAGCTTGCAGTAAAGCTTGTATTACTTTGTACATTTGTGGTAGTATTTTTTAGCTTTATCAGATGCAAGATTCACCTTTAATCCTAACCTGTGACATAAGACATTAAGGTATTTATAACTTGCTTCCCCCCCTTTTTTTTTCTGTAATGGCCAAATGAAAATGAGGACTGCCTGTGACTGTCAAATGTGTAGTTCTTTCTTTTAGTAGACTTCCTTTAGGAATGAGAAATAGAAGATCATAAAGATTCCTTAACTTGTATCTTGATAGCTGAAGAAACCAAGTAATGCAATGTTGTGCATATGTTAATTATATATGTAGTAAATTTATGTTGATACTGTGCTTATAGGGGGCATTGTGGCTGATTTGTATAAAATCATTTTCATATTAAGTGTTCATAAAAGTTGACTTGCTATTATGCTTATATAAAAGCGAATTGACTTAGTAATAAGATAAAAATTGTATTGTCCTAAAAGAAAAAAGTTTCTTTATTTTGTGGATTGAATGGGTGTAGATTAAATGGGATTTCAATGGATTTTTAAATGAATCTTCTTGTCACTCTTCTTCTCCAACCCCTCCCTCTTTATTAACTGTGTAATGGTTTATTGGATAGTTGTTCTCAGGGTAAAAAGCCATTGAAATGTGACTAGTGACTGCATAGTTCATAATTGCTGCTTTTTGGGAATTTTGAAATTTTGGAATTTTTTTGGAGTGAAGGGATCAGCATACTACAGTACTGTTAGATAAGTAGTATGTTACAGTAGTACAGTACTGTAGTTAGTTACAGAAGTAAATAACAGCAGGGTATGACATACATTATGCATAACTTACACTAATTAGCCACATTAAAACCAGTGACAGGTGATGTGAATGACATTGATTATATTGTTACAATAGCAGCTGTCAAGGTTTCAGATGTATTAGGCTGCAAGTGAACAGTCAGTTCGTGAATTTCATGTGTTGGAAGCAGGAAATATGGGCAAGAAAAAAGATCTGAGTAACTTTGACAAGGGCCAAATAGTGATGGCTAGTCAGCTGGGTCAGAGCATCTCTAAAATGGCAAGTCTTCTGGGCTTCAGTGGTTAGCACCTACCAAAAGTGGTGCAAGGAAAGACAACTGGTGAATCAGTGTTAGGGTTGTGGGCACCCAAAGCTCATTGCATCGAAGATGAAGGCTAAACCATCTGGCCTGATCACACAAAAGAGCTATTGTAGCTCAGATTGCTGAAAACCTTAATGCTGGCCATGATATAAAGATATCAGAACACATAGTACATCACAGTTTGCTGCATATGAGGCTGCATAGCCGCCGATTGGTCAGAGTGTCTACGATGATTCCTGTTCACCGCTGAAAGCACCAACAGTGGGGATATAAGTATTAACTGGACCATGGAGCAATGGAAGAAGGTTGCCTGGTCTGATGAATCATGTTTTCTTTTATATCAGATGGATAGCTTGAAGCATGTATGTCATTTACCTCAGGAAAAGATGAGAGCAGGAAGCACTATGGGAAGAAGGCAGGCTGGTGCAGGCAGTGTTATACTCTGGGCAATGTTCTGCTGGGAAATTTTGGGTCTTGGCATCCATGTAGATGTTACTTTGGCATGTACTATCTACTTAGAGATTGTTGCAGACCAAGTACACCACTTCATGGCAATAGTGTTCCCTGATGGCAGTGGCCTCATTTAGTAGGATAATGCACCCTGCCACACTGCAAAAATTGTTCAGGAATGGTTTGACGAATATGACAAAGAGTTCAAAGTGTTGCCTTGGTCTCCAAATTACCCATATCTCAATCCTATTGAACATCTATGGGATGTGCTAGAACAATAGATCTGATCCATGGAGGCCCCACCTCACAGCTTGCAGGACTTAAAGGATCTACTACTAATGTCTTGGTGCCAGATACCACAGGACACATTCAGAGGTCTTGTGGATTCCATGCCTTGACACATCAGAGCTGTTTTGGCAACATGAGAGGGACCTACATAATATTAGGCAGGTGGTTTTAATTTTGTGGCTAATCAGTGTATAGTTGAGTTCTTTCCCCTTCATGGTGATCAGAGACTCATTAGTGCCTACTTTAGATACCTGACAGTATCCAAAGACTTTGGCCAAATCTGATTGAACACACCATAAAGTCCCCTTCAAATGGTGATATAGAGCACAATGAAGTCTTTCTGCAGCTGCTACTGTCTCAGGCATCCAGTTGCACTTTTTTGTTTTGGATGGAAGAAAGGAATGGTAAATCACGTCTGTATATTCTATACCTAGAAAAGTTACCATAAGTCAGAATTGACTTGATGTCACATTATTACTATTTATTAAAATATGTTTGGGTCTATGAATTGGCTGTGGCCAGAGGCTGACTCATTAGAAGGCTGCTCTGACCTTTTTTAAAAAAGGTCCTTACTATAATATTTGTGTTGCTGTACTTTTAACTCCAGTTCATGTGAAGTGTATATCAGAGGCACTGCAAGACTAGCTTTTAGCAGAATCATAGCATTTTAGAGCTAGAAGGGACTGCAAACATCATGGATTTCAACCTCCTATTAAAAAAGGAAAACTAAAGCATCCCTGACATATGGTCACAAACCTTTATTTTAAAATCTCCACAAAAGAATGTCCACTACTCTGAGACAATCCATTCCATTGCTTGACAAC